ATTCAGTTACGTCTGATCGGTAATCGAGCTTTGCTGCAGTCATTGTCAGTAATATTGTGCCGGCGCCTTTAGACGCCAGTAGTGAATTGAAAGCAAATGTTTGAAACACCTTTGGGCGCCAACACTAGTTAAGGAGTTAATTCAATTTTTGATGCGTGGTACTAGGTGATCGGAGTCTGCAGAAGTTGGATGCAAATGTTTGCTGTAAGTGGTAGGAACGAGAAATCGTTCGATATTTTGAGGTACTGGGGAATTGGGTAGGTTAAATGTGTAGAAATTGGAAGGAAATCTTTATTATGGACGCCGGAAGCGAAACATTCATTCGATTTTTTAAGGTATTGGGTAATTAGATACTTGAAACGTTCAGAACTTAAATGAAAATCTTCCCTGTAATCGCTGGAAACGAGAGATTCGTTTGATATTTTTCGAAATTGGGTAATTATATGCTTGAAACGAACAACAAACCGCAACAAAAACCTCGTTAAAATGTCTGAAAGCAAAAAGTTCCGTGGGTTTTACGGAGATTTTGTTCCATATCTTGCGGTTTCGCACGATTAGATATTTGAAACGCACGGAAATTGCAAAAAATCTTCGCAATAAGCGCTGTAAGCAAAAAATTCATTCGATATCTTGCAATATTTAATGACTAGATACTAGAATGCTGTAGATATCGCAAGAAAATTTTCGCTGTAATCGCTAGAAGCAAGAAATTCGTTTGATATCACACAATTAGGTACTTGAAACGTGCAGAGATCGCAAGAAAATTTATACTGCAATGAATTCGTGCAATGTCTTACAATATCAGTGAATTACATATTCAAAACATGTAAAAATCACCAGAAAATCTTCGCTATAATCACTAAAAACCAGAAGTTCCATGGAGTGTTTACATATTTTTCGAGTTTTATTTCGGAATTTCGTTCGATTAACGATCGGTATGCTACGATATCGCGCGGTTAGGTTATCAAACTGAGAAAAACCCTCTTCTAGAAGCTGGTGGTGAGTTTTCGCTGTAAACGTTGAAAGCTAGAAGTTACTTGGGATTCTCATTGACTTCGTTCGATCGGCGATTAATACGTCCCGATATCGCGCGATTAGATCTCTGAAACGAGTAGGATACTCTTCTGGGAAGTTCTGCTGACTTTTGAGCTAATAAAATCGCGCAAAATCATTGGCTATAATCGCTGGGAGCGAAAAGTCCCCGGGGATTTTCAGAGGATTCGTCATCGGGAATCACCGATCGGCAATTATTCCGTCAATTGCGGGGAATAATTCTAACTGGAGTTACATATAAAACATAAAAAAACAGCTGAGAAAAATACACAGAAAAATATGACGAACAATAAGAATATTTCTAACATGATAATATTTCTATTCCTTGAATAAAATTAATAAAGAATTGGAGCTATAATGTAGGAATTATAATACTTATCTTCATTTGTCCAACGTAAAAACTACAAAATGGTCCTTCCTGAATTTCTTGTTTTACAACAAATGAAAAGATACGGATAATTTTCCTAAGAATAAAGGAAATAAATTTGTTTAATAATAAAGCTATGTACCAATCAAAACGACTGGCTTTAGTCCTCTTATTTTAAAAATATTGATTCCTTAAAAGCATTAATATTTGAAATATTTGAAAGTATTATAATGTATGATACAATATAATATTATAACTATCACAATTAGTTAACTACAATTTTTATGTAATCCTTACAAAGATCGTAAAAATATACTTTCTCACGATTTCTCCAGATATTCGTTTACTTTCAAAATCATTTCAGATATTCAATATATTTCAACTATTAATAACTGCAAAATAAGCAAACTAAAACACGTCATTTCGACGGGCATGATAGTTCTAGTGTGAATGTATTAACCTTCTATTGCATAAAATTTGATAAGGAGTTAAGCAAATACATACACCTATCATTCCATCTAAACGTGTTAACGAAATAAAGAAGAAAATATTCCTAGATTATTGCATTTTATACATGTTCCCATATGGGAACTTCATACATATACCAATACACAATTCGCAGTGTAGCTTAACTTCTTAAAACCATAGAACTACCGAACAGTCAATTTGTTTTCCTTTCATACTTTCATAGATATTCTAAGGGTGTATTTATTCAGTTTACCATTACCTCTATTTCGTACATCATCAAATCAAGTTATACAGCTATTTCTCTAACAAACACTACCTTCCCACTGCCTGCGAAAGAAGAAAGCAGCAATCTCTCATTCTGACCTACCCGGTAGCTTCAATCTTAATCTACAGACCACTTCGAATCAAATGTCCAATCAGGAATGCAATAAAGAGTGTTAAAACATTTCACTCAAATATCACTAAACCGACCAACTCCATAGGGGTTACGATCTCGGAACACCGTTCTCCAGCGGAAACCGATCCATCACGAGCCGCGCTCGAACGACAGGGTTGACGCAGCCCGGTACAAGCTGGCTCGAAGGAACTCTTATCCCGCGACGTAGTTCGGAACCGGTTATCCTCTGGACTGACGGATATGACGTCCAGCGACGTCCCTTTTTATTCCGTCCCGATTTTTCTGCCTCGGTGTCTCTCGCCTCGTGGCATTCATTTTGCGTGCCCCGGACCAAGACGACTCCCCGCTTCACTTCTGCTTTTATTTCCCGTCGATCTCTCGCCGGACACCACCCCTCTTCCATTTGCTAACGAGAGCGCGGCGAATCCTTCCCTCCGGTTTAATAACCATTAAGCGGAGCGCGGAGAAGTTTGCAGGCTAGCCTGCGGCCCGCGAAGGTGAAAGCCTGGACGTCGAGGGTGTGAAAGATCTAGAGCAGATACGGGCCGCCCCGTATCGATGAGCTGGCTCCTCGTCGCTTCGACGGGACCCCTTTCGCTAGGCGCAAGATAAGATCCCGCGGATAAGCCACGATCGACCCCACCCCGCTGCCCCGGCTTTCGACCCTTTCCCTTTGACCGGGACACGCAGGGTAAACACTCTCGGCCACTCCCGCGACGCGACGGGCCGCCTCGGAGATTCGCGGCGGACGAGTTCGCGCAGCGGACAAAGGCGGCCGAGTGCTCGCCTGCCTCTCCAACGGCAAAAATGAAAAGAGGAAAACAGGAGAGGCAGATTGGGGAGACACTTTATATTCGTGGACACGCGCGACAATGCCGGGTTCTCGCTCCGGCGAGCGTCAATCGGCTTTCCATTAGCTACCGGCCTGAGGACATCAATGATGCCAGGTATGCTTCGCCCTGTCGCCAGCTCGCTTTGCGATGGTCGGTTAAGTGGTCCTTCCAGGGAAATAATGGGAGTGGAATGGAAACTCGGGCGGCAAGCCTGGAAAATCGAAATGTTGTTTGGAGCTGGGGAGATTCGGATGTGATGAGCTGGGGGGTGTCTTCGAAGACTTTTTCTGTTTCTTTTTTATGCCTCAGCGGAGGGAGCTTCCTTTTGACTGGGTTTTGGGGCTGTTTTGAGGATTTTGGAGCTTGGGGTTGTTGGTAACTCGGAGCTTTAAAAATCTCCATGACAAAATAAATGTCTACATTTTTTTTAGCTAGAAAAGGCTCTATAACTCGGAATAGAGGATGTCTTTAACTGGACAAATTTCTTCATTCCTCTGTTTGAAATTAGAAAAATCTCTGTAGTTTGAAATATAAAACCTCTGTATTTTGACAAATTTCTTCCTTTTCTGTTCAACTATAAAAATCTCTCTAGCTCCACAAACGTCTCCATTATCTTCTATTTAGCTACAAAGTTTCTCTATAGTTCAAACAAGATTTGTATAACTCGACAAATTTCTTCGTTCTCTTTGGTTCAGCTATAAATATCTCTATATCTCGAATAAAAGCTCTGTATCTTGGAAAATTTCTTCCTCTTCTGTTCAACTATAAAAATCTCTACAGCTCGACAAATATATTCATTGTCTTCCATTTAGCTACCTTTCTTTCGTATATTATTTCTATTCGATGTAATCTACAATTTAATCAGTATTTCATTCGAAAGTAGCAAATATATGTAACGTAAAAACTTTCGAGTGCAGAATGTTAAGGATAAGGACATAGAGAAACAAATTGAACTCTGAATAAAATCTAGAGTCACACTCGACGGAGTAGCGCGAAGGGTTGATGGAAAGTGAATTCGTGAACAGGTGTAGATCGTTTTCGATCCGATCCAGAGGCGGCCTCGAGGCAGGTAACAGGCCGATCCCGCGTTTCCAGCCGAATATCCAGTCGAACGATCGAGGGGATTAAGGGCGGCCGATTTCACGCGATCCTGGTGCGCCGGATCGCTGCTTCTCGATTCTAGAATCCGTCCGACCGTAAGAACGGGATCTCTCGATCGAAAGGATCCTCGGGAAAGGGAGAAGGTCTCGCGTAACTTGTAACAAAATTTCATTCGACTCTCAACTGTCATTTGAATTTAATAAAACGAAGTTTTTGTCAAACAAACTTTACATAATTAATACATTCTTCTAAACGTGGACTTTAAATTAGAATGTATTTCAATTTGAACAAGATTTGCAGGATGGATATAGTCGATATAGAAAATAGAATAGAAAATAATAATGGGAGAAAATGTGAAATGACAGGGCGACCATGACTGTTTCCTCGAAAGAACATATTCCAATTTCGCAATGTTAACTTTCTTAAATCTTCGCTTTAAAGTGTTCTAACTTCAAATAATGCTGCTTTTTCGTTCGTTAACATCGCTGAAATTGTCGGATTTATTTTGTAAATGTTAATTCTACAAATTGATATATATTATAATATTATAAATCTTGAAATTATAAGCATCTATTTATTAAATCTTTATTTTGACGCGTTATAACTTCAAATATCGCTAGTTCTTCGAAATCGTTCGAGGTAGAAGATTTCGTTGTTAATCTCGAATATGATCTTCCAGCGATTCGGTCCTTCTTCGTTCGTTCGCAGCGCTCGGTCACGTATCGAGCCATGGTTTAACCGTTACAGGTGTGATATCTGTTCGTTTTCTTTTCCAAAACTGTCGCTGCAGAGTGCGGCGAGGCGGGCGGGCACCAGCTGCGCCAACTGCAAGACCGCGACCACCACGCTCTGGCGGAGGAATCAGGCTGGCGAGCCAGTCTGCAACGCGTGCGGCCTCTATTACAAACTTCACAACGTAAGTACCAAATACCTATCATAATTGAAACTGAAGAAATTGAATGTGATTAGTAGACAGCGAATCGTCGTGTAAATGAAAATGTTTAACCTCTTTACTTAGGATATAAGGTTAGACTCGAGTTATTAAATCGTAGGGCAAGCATAGACATAAAGTATGCATAGAATTTTTCTCTTCTTTTAATAAATTATTACTGACAAAGTTGTTGTGTTGATCACAGTTGAAAAATGAATCATAAAGCAAGGGGTTAACCCTTTGCACTCGATTTATTTTCAATGTTGTCGGGCGTAAACTTGTATTTATTTTTGGAGAAATGAATTAAAGTAATTTACAATGGTAGAATTCAACGTTTTATATTTATTTTATTTGTTATTATTATAATAAGATTTAATTTTTTATCTTTTAAAGTGTGGTACTTTGTCAAACAATTTCTAACGTTCTATAACAAACTTGTATTGCCATCTTCAGCATGGCAAACGAGTGCAGAGGGTTAAGATATTATTTAGTAAACATAAATATTACTGAATTCCTTTGAGTTTTAAGTAAATGTTATTCTTTATTATACTGTGGAGCGAAGATGATATAGGATATGCCTAGAATTTTGTTACATTTTTCAACAAATGATTAGTGATAAAGTATATAGTTTTTTGGTCGTAGTTGAGAAAGAAGTCATAAGTCAAAGGGTTAAGAACGTAATTAGAGAAATGGAAATATAGGAAAACGTTGTTCCTAGTAAATACTATTAAAAATATTATACTGATGATGTTTCATATATTTCTTTCGTATCGTGTTTATTTTCTACAATGTTGCACTCTCAAATTTTCTACACATGCATAACATGACATGCTTTTACATGACAGTAGAAACTACAATAAATATCTTGGAACTTTTTTATATTTTCTGAAAGTCAAAAGACAATAAGAAACTAGTGGATATAAACTACCCACATTGCAGACGGAGGGTTAATTTCACAATGACTCCTTTAACGCACAAATTTCGTTGTTTAGTCTTTGCGAAAAATTGTTATTTTTATCAGAAAAAAATTTAAACATTGATTTGAATCCATTTGCGTATTAAATTTGATCATTTCGATACATTTACGAAGAATGTCGGACTACTTTAACTAATAATAGTTACGATTGTAGGAAATAAATTTATATTTTTATTAATTTGATTAACAAGAAGAGTTAACAATGAATAAGAAATATTTGGTAACCGACAAAAATACAGTAGAACCTCGATAAATTGAACCTCTCTATTTTCTGCAATTTAAATTGTCCAGAATCTTATTCAAATTAGAACTTAGTAATTCATATTGTTAAATGGTATTCATCTTGAAAATATATATGCGATCGAATTTGACAAAAATATTTTCAAAAAATTCTACTTGAGTTTCCATTTATCTGGACTGTTATTTTCCTAATTAAATCAGATAATCAATGTTCTGTTGCATTGCATTTCAATTAATCGTTGGTAATTTGTGATCAGACTATATTTCGCCTGATGCGCGTGTTCAGGATACGATCGAAAAGTTCACGAGATGTTTAGAATTTATTCGAGAAAACGGCCACTTTCACTCCACTTTTGTTCATCTTTATTTATTAGGCTGCAGTGTTGTTTCAAGTAATAAAAGTATTCATAATCTGAATACGATTTAAGCCTTTAAAATAGAAAATCGTAGGATATCATAATACAGATTATGCGATTAATTAAACGTGATTCAATATTACTTCGTTATTAAATGGTAATGAAATATTCTGATGACGTTGTTAGACAATTGGCAGCTCTGATATCGAAGGGTTCTTTTCCCAGTAGTATTCGCATTAAATTAAAATAAATTTTATGGATGGATAGAGAAACATTTTATGGTAATTATTCGTTCGAAGGGAATAAACTTTTTCTCGATTAGAAGTACAATATTTAGTTATCATTTTTTAATGCAAATGTGAATGTTAATATTAGTAGTTTAGTTTGGTTTATTTATTCTTTCTATGTGAGTAATTATTAAATTTTGTTATGGTACTTCCTATATATTACTCCACTGGTTTGTGTTAACCCCGACTATTACATCTGGAAATTTCTTGTATTGTGCCCTTCTCTTTTACTTCAATTTCCAATAACTTTTCAATCATTCTTCAGTACCATTTCCATAATTTTCAATAACTTCTGAATCATTTTTCAATGCAATTTTAACCGTTTTCAGTAACTTTTTAATCATTTTTCAATAATTAGTCAATAATTCCCTTAACTTTTAACTGTTCAACAATTCCTTCTTCTGACTTTTCAATAATTCTTCAATAATCCTTCAATCGTTTTTCAACAACTTTTCAATAATCCTCGAATAATTCATCAACAATATTCCAATACTCTCCAACAATCTCCATGAACTACGAACCATCTCCACCGAAGCCAAGTTACAACCTCCATCCGCTTGATCAACTCCAAATCGGAGCCCGGTGGTCTCTGCGAAACTGGGGCGCGTATCTTCCGCGAGGATCTTCCGCTTCCGGTAGTGCACGATCGGAAACGTCTTTCGAGAAGAGGAAAAAAGGGACTGGGTTCGAGGGGAAGGGCGGGTTGTTCTTGTAGACACTCGATACAATGTTTTCGAAAAGGGAGACACCGACAAAGGGAGGGCCGGTATTAAACGGCGGATACGAGATCCCTGGCCGATGTATAAAAGCTTTCTTCCGATAAATACCGGAGGCAAAAGGTCGTTCTTTGGCCACCGTCGAAGCCACCGATCGTCGTTTCACCGGTCCACGAACGGCAGTAGAGAGGGAGGGCTCGGTTTTGTAACGAGATATCGGATTGCCATTGTCGCGGCAGCCTCCGCTAGAGATCCATTGTCGTGCCTCTCCACGGTGGAATCGGATTCCCGCTTTCCGATCGGCCCTTACGCGCGCGCGCGAAATATGAAACAGGGAACAGGTTGCCGATCAAAGGAGAGCAGAACAAAGTAACATTCTTTTGCATTTGGTGTAACTATCGATTGTCTTTTGATGGTATAAAAAGGATGTAAGCCGTTGGTCGAGAGTTTAGGTTATGTTATGTTGTGTTAGGTTTTGTTATATTGTATTATGTCGTGTTAGGTTTTGTTTGACGAAGTCTATCGTGAATTGAAGCGGTGAACTCCAAAGCACAAGTCCACTTTTTAACGTTACGTGAGCTATTGATTTTACTATTTTTAGCTTGGTCAAACCTGTTTCATAATATTAAAAATCTACACGTAATGGCGCAACGGTCAATAAAATAGATGATGATGAATGATTGAACAAAGAAGAAGAGGAAGAATGATCTTCTGGAAACGTTGATTGCTCGACTTGTGTGGCTTCGATTGTTATGTTCTAAAGTGAAAGTCTATATAGATGAATTAGGAATTTTTGTTGCTTTCTGGAAAATTATTAATGACAACGTTGGCTTAGTGCAGGTATGAAAGATATTATATAGCAAGGGATTGGGCCCAGTTCTGTTTGAGAAAACTACTGTATCTCTAACAGTTTAGTCGAAAAGGAAGAGAATTTGAGGATTATTTTGTGTCTACGTTTACTCTGAAGTTTAAAGATTAATAATAGACTAATAATAAATAGATACATAGTAGATAAATATTAGATTAATAATAGGACAAACAACAGAACAATAATAAATGAACAAAAAGACAAATAACAGATCAATAATAAATTAACAATAGTTTAATAGCAGATAACAATACTACCACTCAACTTACGCTAAAACTAACTAAATAACATTCAGAAATATCGAACTCAGTTAAAAATATTCACCACAACTCCAACACGATATTAGAGAACAAGGGGTTAACGATAGCAAAGGTTTGATTTCGACGCAAGAATAACCGAATGTTCCCACCGCGGGCGTCCATTGTCCCGCGGCGTTGTCCCTTGATTATTCCGTGTTGCGCCAACAATTAGGGTAGTTCGCGGCGTGACCGGACGCGCGAACAGTGTCTCTGTACTTCGATGGGGTGGCGAGAGCGTGCTCAACGGCGTGTGACACAGGAAGCGGCGGAAGCGAGCGAGCGAGCGAGCGAGCAAGCGAACTGGCTAGCCGTCCCTCGCCCGGAGAGACAATGGGGGGGAAAAGGAAATCCCGGGGATCCCCCTTTTTCTCCAGCGACGATATTTCACCGCGATGCGACGCGACGTCTCGCGGGGCGGATATCTCCGCGTGGGTCGGCGACGACCTTAATAAGCGAGAAACGCGCGATTCCGCTCCGAGACTCTCGATCTTCGGGTCTCACTGTGCACGTTAATCCTTTACTCCGTGATTTTCAGAACCGTTCGAACATATCGCGAAATCCGCCTTTAATCCTTTGCCGTCGAACGCCACCGTAATGGCAACTTCGAGGTTTAACCCCTTGGACTATGATTTATTTCTTAACACCAAAGCTACTTAGGAATTAAGTGACTTCTTTCGAATCTTTTATAAAAGTTAGAACTTTTTGTGAATTATTAGAGAGTGAATATTAGGATCTTTTCTAAAAATTCTTGAAATTCGAAGGGTCTCTTAGTCTTGTACCTGTGCAAATATACTAATTTGAAAATATTTGAGATAAGAATTTTGAAATGTGATTTGAAATTTGAAATGAAATTTGATCCGTTCAGTAGTTTTAGTGTTAACTGTGATCGGTACAGCTACTTTATCGTTAATAATTTATTAGGAACAGAACGAATTTTAACCATTGATAATAGAAAAGTAATATTTAATTTGTGTTAAAAAACAATTAATAACACTTAGGTTTCTTAAATTCAGTTCAACCAGTTAACCAGTTAGTGGAATTTAGTTTGAAAAATCTTCCATTGTGCATGCAAATACATCTATAATATATTTTAACGAAAAATTAGTACCATTTTGCGTTTTAAAATGACGTCCCGTTCAAGACTCTACTAATGCGGTTAACTGTTCAAAATCTTCATCACGGGTCTGAAATGTCATTATGAAGCAAGGGGTTAAGACAATGTTTGCAAATGTCCCTCTTAGAT